TAAAAAATAAATTAATACCATCAAGTGATAAATTAATATAATAGCACGGTCTGAATTTAAATCAGATCTATTGACGAAAATTGAAAAGGAATTTTGGTTCACTATTTATAACTAAATTTATGTCACGTGACGTTTCACGTCTAATTATTTTTATCTTCGAGATTAAACTATAAATTATTAATTCTCACCCGCCCAATTCTAAAAAAAAAATTAATAACTATTATAAATTATCTGTGAATTTATTATAAATGATAAAACAGTACTCAATTTTTTATACACCTCTTTTCTTTTATATATATGTTGTGCGTCAAATGCGATTTGCGTCAGATGACGCCGGCCTACATTATCAGCCCAATATTATAGTAATGCCTTAAGTGGTTGACCGGCATTACTAGGCCGATCTTCGGCATCTGACGCAGAAAGTGATTATACTTATAAATCTTCTTGCAAATGAGGAACGTTGAGCAAAATCATAATATTAACTTCCATTCACGGAAAATGTAAATAATTTGATAAATTTCGTGATATAAGGTTATTAATTCTGCCTTTTACGGAAAAAAGATGGAATATAAAAAACGGGTCAACTTTTTTTACAGGGCAAAAGTTACAACTTACTTGAAGATTACAATATTTGTTTAGATTATAATACGATCTATTTCCGTTTTATTACAACGAATATGGAACAATCAGTAAACTTATTCCAGAATCGCAGCTTATTTTTTAAATTTCTCGATATAAAATGGCTGACACCGTACTGCCTGTCAGTTATGATCCACGAATGAATTAGGTTGTGAGTTAAAACATTATGAAAAACCATTAACAATCACGATATAGGCAAAAAATTTAGAATTACCTCATTTACCAAAATCAAAAAAAATTCTGATTTAACTTATTTAACTTGTAGTTGCTGGCTTGTATGCATATATCCTTCCTCCAAACAAAGTCTAATTTAACCGATTAGTAAGATGCTATAAAATAATGTAAAAATTACCGAACTCAATATTCGTTGACACTGAACTTTGATAAAAATTTTTCACTAAAAAAAATTTTTAGTTATTACCAGATGACCAACTATTGCCAATATCCGATATATTGTATTTTGCTACAAAAAAAAAATATGTTATCAAAATTTATTCAGTTTTAATCATCTTTTTCCATTAAATTATAATAAAAACTTTGCAAAGTTCAAGACAAAATTTAGCATTTCAATGAAATAATAGACATGCTTGATAAATCCCGCCTTAAAATTTCGCGTTTATAAATTATCACTTATACACTCACTCACCTTTAATGTAATTATAAAACGTAATTTTACAGTATCAAGAATCAAAATATGATTTCTCAAAAAATTAGAAGTTAATAAGTTACCCATATGTAATCGGATCCTTAAATCAAACTAAGGCGGTTCATCCGGTTTAAAAAAATCCGGTTTACAGCAAATTTCAGGGCACCTGGTCACAGCGCCAAAAGGTATTTGGTAAAACTCGGGAAAGCATAGAATAAGGCAAAAACTAGATTATTAGATTCGGAACACTGATCTGAGTGTCTGAGTGCAGTGATGTACTACTACTGTACAGTGGTTTATATTTTATTCCGAGTTTCTCTTGGCATGATGTAAATTTGAATTTATTACTGTAATCAGGCCTTTTATTTTAACCGGATATAAAATTTGAATTTAATAAATTCGGGGTAGCATTTAATCGATATTGGGATTCTATACCTGGTTGAGTTCATTTGTTAAATATAGCCTGTATCCAACTGAATTTATCTAGAATCCTTTAATAATAAAGCAAAAAATTCTTTTATTAAAAAATTCAGAGCATTTAATACAAGCCAATCAAATTAACTCATTAGACACGCCACGAAAATTGACATGTAAATCACAAATGTATTAATTCAAATTAAAGTCCGATTTTATAAATGAACCAATCAAATCTAGATCCAAATTTCGAATACAAATTCAGTTAAAAAAGTTGAAATATTTTTGAAACTTTTCACTGAAATTCCTAGTTCGAAATCCAAATTTCATTTTGAATTTTCAATCCGGTTAAAAATATAGATCAAAATATCCAATGTGAAATTTTTTTCAAATATTCTGAAAGACGAAATCAATTTCGTCCAATCCATTAAAGCGAAGGCTATCTAACAAAAATTTCGGCCAAAATAAATAATTTTCTAATTCCGGCCAAAATTAACTATAATTCTGGCCATGGTTTCTGGGTTGTGACTTGTGAGCGCCCTAACAAAGTTATTTTAAATATTTTTTTTTTTTTTTAAAAAAAAAAAAAAATTCTGAATTGTATCAAGTAATTTATTAGATGATATAACATCATTTGCATTATTATATAGAATAATTAAATCATATACCTTAAATATTTATATTCTGAAAAAACTTTTGATATTTTCGGGTTTTTCCAGAACAAATTGTGAGAAGAACGAAACTAGATGTCCAAATAATTAGAAAAGTTACTTGACCTCAAATTAGAAGACTTAGAAATGAAATGTTTATTTTCGCTGGAGCTGCAAATTAAGAAAAACCGGCCGAGTTAAACAAAGATCAAACAGGACCCCGGATAATTATAATTGAGGTCATATCTTACTATGTTTTAAACTTTATTTTTCTTTTAACATGTAATTTTATTAAGTTAATATTATTTTTTACCATAGAAAAAAATGTTTCTTTTGAAGAGAAGAATCTTTTGATACCAAAATCTTGTAAATCTACTGATTAGAATTTGAGATAAGTATCGTTACACAGGCAAAATTTGGCAAAAAAATATACGCTTTTTCACTATCGGTATACATAGAAATATACAAAAAAATAAAAATCACTATTATTAAATATTACTTTTTAAGTAACAAAATTATAGATAATAGGAGGGCAATTATTATTACAAAGTTTTGTATCTGTCTCTTATACACATCTAGATGTGTATAAGAGACAGTTTAAGTAACAAAATTATAGATAATAGGAGGGCAATTATTATTACAAAGTTTTGTATCTATAGCTTTAAAAGTAAGTTCAGGATGACAAGGGTAAATTTTTAGCATAGAAGATATGACCTTAATTATAATTGTCCGGGGTCCTGATCAAACTCGACTGTTACAGCAAAATTCGAAATATAGTGAACACTTGAAAATTTTTATTGTCGGTACTGGCTAGTCGGGTTATTCACGTAACATATATATATATATGATGGCGTAATATAAAGTATAATAAAGTATAATTGTATATACTATATAATGTAATTATGTTAAATTTAATTAAGGTATGCCCGTGTTATTTTCTTTTCTAATAACCAACTAGCCGAGTAACCCCGAGTACCCGACAATCCCGACAATAAAAATTTCAAGTGTCCACTATATTTCGAATTTTGCTGTTTTGAATTTTTTATATATTTTCAAATAAAATTATCTTATTGGTTAATTCTTGATTAATTATTAATAACTTACCTAATTTATACATTTCTTGCTTATAATTTTTTTAAATCAAATTTATTGGATAAATTATACAGTAAATCGACTTGATCTTCCATCTTGAATCGGCGGTTTAATTAAACCGTGAATCAAAAATGGTACCACGGTTAAATTGTTTCAACCTCACCTGAAATGAATAATAATAATAAAAGAAATTATATACAGTATGTCCTTATATTGGAATATAAAACTAATTTTAAATAGAGATTTGTAAATCATAGTTTCAGTTAAACTAACGAATAACTTTTGATTTCGTGAATTCTAGAATTTCCATAGTTTCAGAAATTATAGTTTCAGAATGATAAAAATAAGTTTGATTAGCGAATTTCGGGTATATCATTTAACTATTAAAGAAATAATAAATAACTTTGATTTGAATATCACAGTTTTAGTTCTATTAAAAAAATACATAAAAATTAAATCAGTTTTAACACTATTTTAGTACTATTCTAGCGCCATTCTAGCGTTATTCTAGCGTTAATCTAACGCTAATCTAGTACTAATCTAGTATCTGCGGTATTTCTTTCTTGGTTTATTAAAACACACAATTGTAATTATGTACAATGAACATCAGGTATTATCAAATTTATGCATAATAAGCCTCGTACCATGGAACATGAAATGTACCAATCATAATGAAATAATCACATAAATATATAAATAACATTAGTCTAATTTGAGAAAACAAAAAGAGAAAATTTTTTTTTTAAAAAAAATAAAATTTGGAAACGAAAATCTTTTTCTGTAAAACAGAAGAAAAATTCATTTATTGCATTATTTGATGGTCATGGTATTATAAATTTTAAAGCGGATTGATGTCATAGTTTTTTTTTTTTCTCAAGTATAAAAAATAACGCAGATTTATTTTGCATTTTGGATTATAAATTTTTTTTTTTTGAAATCTAAGAAGAAAAAAAAAAAATTTAAAATTCTAAAGAATTTGGATGTAAAAAAAGATTACGAAATCGGAATTTTAATTTAATTTTTTAAAGCATATTTACGTATCAAAGAAACCCCACTGCATAAAAAATTAAACTTTGCTCAATTGTTTATAAGTCCGATATAACCTGCTTTCTGCCGAAAAAAAAAAGGGTTCTTACTTTAATTGTAATTCAGCCAATTATTATTCAGCCAAGAAAAAAAATCATTTTTCAAGGTAGAATTTCCCTTGCATCAAAAAAAAAATAAGCCTTATCAAATTATTCAGAAACCAATCATTCTAATAAGAAAAAGGATTTTTAGTTTCACAAAAACGGAGGGATATTATGTTATGAACAGTATATGATGATGAAATGTAATATATATTTAATTTATTTATTTTCCATATTAAGTTTGGTACTCTTTGTATTCACAGATAAACGTATTATTCTCCTGTAACACAACAAACAATATACGCGTCCCAAAGTTTACAATTGACAAGTTTGTTTCTGTTCGCGCAATAATAATTTTCTACGATTGGTCTCATTATTTATTATATATAAACAACTTATTTTCTTAATTTTATTCTCACCTTTTAATTATTTTTTTTTTTAAAAAAAAAGAAAAAAGAAAAAAATATATTTTTTTTTCTTTGATTGCACCCTTTGCATCCTTGCATCTAAGAAATCTCCTTTTTACGACTCTTTTTTCCTAAGAAAATATATTCCATCAATAAAAAAAAAAAAAATATTTTATACTTTCTTTTTTTAGTATACTTGAAGTATCAAAAATTTAACGATCCAAGAAATTTTTCACAAGGTAAGCGGATCGTATTTTATAACCTTAAATTCCTTAAATCATAGAAAATTTCTTTAAGAATTTCTTTCTCTAATTTTAGATAAAACCCTATAAAACCCTAGCTTCTTAAGAAATTAATGCTTTTTCAAATTTTTATTCAAATTTTTATTCAAATTTTTTACTTAATAAATCTTACCATATTTTACCGAATCTTACCATATTTTACAATTCTTTTACCCAAACTTGCAATGAATAACACTACTTCTACTTCTATTGTTGTCGAATCTCCAATTTTGACTAGACGTCGCAAAATTTTTGGTACTTGTAAAGGATGTAATCAACCAAATACTAATTTTAACGAATGTGATTATTGTATCAAATGGTTAAAGGAACAAGAATCAACCCTTAAATCAATTATTATCCAACGTAAATCTTTAATTTATAATCAAAGCTGTTATAATTGTAATCAACCAAATCATCTGCATTATAAGATTGCAGCATGTAATAATTGCGGCTTTCCTGAATACAATGTACAAGATTTACGTAGTGTAGCTGTTGAAGATATTTATGATGATGAAGATTATGATCATGATGATGATGATGAGAATGAATTTACTGGAATAAAAATTTCTGATCTATCATGTTCTAAATGTGATCATCCTATGACAAGTTGGTTAAAATGTCCTGATTATAATGAAATTATTGATATGATCTGTTTTGAATTAAATGAAATGAATTTTGATGACCCTGATTATCAAAAATTATGGGAAGCTAAAGAGGTATTTATAAGATGCAAAGATATGATTTGTATTGTATAAATGTAATTTATATTATGGCAACCTTTTATTTATTTTCATTTTATTTTTAGAACTATGAAGAATTGCTTCAACAAGAACAAGATGATGACCAATGGGTAACTGAAGATGAAGTTAATCAAGATTATGATGATTATGACAATGAAGAAGAATACGAACAATATGATGAAATCATCGAACCAAGAACCGTATTATCCATACTTGGTTTACAAAAGCAATATCAAAATTATTTTCATCCTTCAAGTTTGCAGGATCAAACAAAATGTTTATCTTTATGTCTAAAGATCAAGGTTTAAAAAAAATTACATACAATTATTACATGCAACTATTACATGCCACTATTACATGCAATTATTACATGCAACTTATTACATGCAACTATTACATACCACTATTACATGCAAATATTACATGCAATTATTACAATTATTACATGCGTTAATAAGGGTACTTTTATATTTTTTGGAGGGAATAAATTTCATGCAATAATAAGGGTACTTATTGGGATAATCTTATAATCGGTTACTCTATATATATTTTTTTATTATTTTTGTTATTTCCATTTTGTATTTTGATTTTTCTTCTTATTTTATTATAACGTACATCAACAAATTATAAAAAAAATATAAATATTTTAAAAATGAATTGCCGCGTGTGTGATTATTAGTGAAATACTCGTGTCTATTATTTGATTGGTATTCGACGAGTTCTCGGTAACTCGCCTCCATGTGACCACATCCAACGAGTGGAGTATCGAAATACTTAAAATTGAATCATGTCTATATCTGATTATGTGACTACATTCGAGCAGTGAAATACTTAAAATTGAATTATGTCTATGTCTGATTATTTCACGACCACATTTGACGAGTGAAACAGTGAATACTTAAAATTGAATTGTTTCGCTATCTAATTATTTCTTGGTGACTCGTGACCGCATTCGACGATTGGAGTAGTGAAATACTTAAAATTGAATTATTTGTATATTTATTACGTCTAGGTGACGCAGTGAAATAAATAAACATGTTAATAAGTAATGATAAGGATTCCATTAAAAAAAAAAAGAGATTATCATACTTTTCGAAGACTTTTTTTAATTAGAAAACTCTAAACCAAAAATACCACTTGAAAATGAAAATCATTTCAAATACCTGATTTATATTCGAATTGGAATGGAGAAGCTAAGATCATGGTCATAAGAATGAAAAAATTGTTTAGACGTAGAAATAAATTAATAAATAAAATATTTAAAATAAATAAAGAACTAAAGAATAAACATCTTACCTGCTCAAACCTTCTGATACTATTATTACATTAATATGATAATGTTAAAATTTTATTTGATAAAATAAAAAGTATTATTTTCGGATTACGCAATCAAAAGAAATCGAAACAGAACCCACAGAAATAGGAAGGAAAAAAATCAAAAAAAAAAGAAAAAAAAAAATTATACATATATATTATACATATACATAAAATTGAATTATTTCTATATCTGATTATTTCGTGACGAGTGGAGCAGCAGTGAATACTTAAAATTGAATTATGTCTATTTCTCGGTAACATCGTGACCACATTCGACGAGTTCAACAGTGAAATATTTAAAATTGAATCATTTTATATCTATTACGCCTCGGTGACAAAATTGGATCGTGATTATGTCTTGGCGACGAGTGGAGTAGTGAAATACTTAAAATTGAATTATGTCTAATGTCTATTATTTGATTGTCTCGGCGATGAGTGGAGCAGTGAATACTTGAATTGTTTCTATATCTATTACGAGTGGAGCAGTGAAATACATAAAATTGAATTATGTCTATATCTGATTATTTCGCGGTGACTCGTGACCACAATCGACGAGTGGAGCAATGAAATACTTAAAATTGAATCATTGTCTAATGTCTATTATTTTGATTGTCTCGGCGATGGGTATATTTAAATTGAATTTTTTCTATATCTATTACGTCTCGGAGCAGCGAAGTACATAAAAATTGTATTATTTCTATATCTAATTATTTCGTGATCACATTCGACGAGAAGCACTTAAAATTGAATTGTTTCTATATCTATTACGTCTCGGTGACAAGTGGAGTAGTGAAATACATAAATTGAATTATTTCTATATCTAATTATTTTTTGGTGACTCGTGACCACATTCGACGAGAAGTACTTAAAATTGAATTGGTTCTATATCTATTACGTCTCGGTGACGAGTGGAGCTGTGAATACTTGAATTGTTTCTATATCTATTACGAGTGGAGTAGTGAAATACATAAAATTGAATTATTTTTATATCTAATTATTTCTTGGTGACTCGTGACCACATTTGACGAGTTACAACAGTGAAATATTTAAAACTAATTGAATCATTTCTATATCTATTACGCCTCGGTAACCATGTCTATACCTTATTATGCCTCGTGTGACGAATGAAACAGTGAAATACATAAAATTGAATCATGTCTAATGTCTATTATTTTGATTCTCGACGATGAGTGGAGCAGGGAATACTTAATTTGAATTCTATTATGTCTCGGTGACGAGTAGGCAGTGAAATACATAAAATTGAATTATGGTATGACGAATGAAGTAGTGAAATACATAAAATTGAATTACGTCTATATCTAATTATTTCTCGGTGACTCGTGACCACCATTCGGCGTGAACTCGTCTCCATGTGGGCAAGACTTGAAATTGAATCATGTCTATATTTTCCATGAGACATTGTTTTGTACCACCATTCGATAAACACGTTCGATGAGCTTATCTACGACCACACATGAACACATATTTGACGACCTTACCTTACTTATGACCACACATGAACATTTTTACCTTACTTATGAACACACATTTGACGACCTACACATTTTTTATGACCATACATTTCACATGAAAAAACTAATTCTTTTCTACACCAATCAAAATAAAAATTCAGGAACTAAATTTATTATGAAAATCTAAAAAGATTTTATATAATTGCATAATCTTGGCAAAGCAAGATTATTATTAGTGCCAAAAAAAATAAATGAAAATCTATTAAAAGACTAATGTATAATGCCAATTATAAGAAGATGAACTAAACTCATTTTTACATAACTAATATTTATTTTCGGATTAATATACATTTTTCTTTTTTTTTAAAAAAAATTAATTTATTTATTATGCAAGAATTTAGGTACATAATTTAAAAAAAAATCATTCCCAATTTTACAACAATGTGATTTTTTTTTTAAAAAAAAACGAGGTATGAAAAGAAGAGTTTGAAGGATTTTTTATATGAACTAATAAAATTTTATACTAGTCTAGAATTTTTATACTAATCCAGAATTTTATATTAATCTAGAATTTTATATTAGTCTAAAATTTTTATATTACTATAATTTTTATACTACTATAAAATTTATACTACTATAAAAAAATTTAAAATTTATGATTTATTTTGATTATAATTAAAAAACAAAATTAAACGTAACATAAACATTAAAAGATCATAATTTTTAAATAATTCTACAATGAACTAAATCAAAAGTTTATTTTTTTTTGTGATATATTAAAAAAATATTTTAAATGAAAATAAGGGTGGGGTTTAAAAAAAAATTATTTATATTTTGTAAACATTAAATAAATCTTTAAAATTTATTAAAAATACCAAAAATAGAAACTTGTGTGATATATCTGGTATATTTTAAATAATTTTTGATTATACAAAAATAGAAAATCATGTATAAAGGGTTACATTGTTAAATTTATTCATTACCATTTTAGGTAATAAATTGAATATTAAATTTTGTGAAAAGGAAGATTCTTTTTTTAGATATCACGTCATTTTTAATACAATTAATACATTTGTAATACCTTATTATCCGATTATTAATCGTTAAAAAAAAAAAAAAAATAGTATTTTTACCGCAATTGTCGTTATTACCGTATTTATTATTATCCTCCGAATTTCCACGGCTCGGCTTGGCTCGCATTATATCAATTTTGGTCTATACATTAACAATTTTTAGGTCTGCATTATGACATCTTACAATAAAAAAAAGGGGGGAAGGTTATACGGACACGAGGATTATTAGTTATTGTTGAGGTATCGAGAATTATTGAATTACTTCTTTTTTAAGATCTTTTTTAAGGAGTATCAGGTAATTGTTTATAATCAAAACGTAATTTAACATTAGAAAAGTTAAGATCATAGAAATCATATAATTATTTTAAATCAAAAAATCAAAAAAAATCTCGTTAAACTTTTTTTATAATTATCCCAAAATGAAATATATTCAGATTTATTTATTATTTTCCATATGTGAGATTCAATCTTTTTTTTAAAATCTATTGTTTCCATAAAAGGCGTACAACCAACAAAGAAAAAACGAGTATTAATAACAAGGAGTTATTGTTATCTAAAAAAAAAAAAAAAAAAAAAAAAATATTTTTTTTTTGCATGTGCAAGATGGCGTGATTAAATAAGCAAAAATCTGAAAAAAAAAACTGGTTTTTTTTATTACATATTGAAATCGTATTGTGAAAAAAAAAAAAAAATTTTCCACGCGAAATTTTTTTTAAAAAGAGATTCCAAATAAGGGAAACATTAATGTTTATTAATGTTACATTTTTAAAAAGAGTAAGGTATCGTAAGTTAATTGTGAGTATCCGTGAGTATCGTGAGTATAAATGTTAAATGACTTGCATAATTTTTTTTAAAAATAATAAATTTTAATTTGTTCAAAGAAATTTTATATAATATTATATATAAAATACTGATATAGGTAATTAATAGACAATAATATCTTTCAATCAGTCAATCATCAATAGTTCATAATCAATCAAATAATAATCAAATATGAATGAAGCTCCCCAAAAAAAAAAAAAATTCTTTGATGAAAAAAAAAATATTCGATAAAAAAAAATTATTCGATAAAAAAAAATTTATTTGATGAAAAAAAAAATTTTTTTTTTTCAAAAAAGAATGACAATTTTGACAATATTGTTAAAAGGACGTGTTACTCATTTTATTTCACTTTCACTTTTAAATATTATATACTTTAAAAAATATAAGTTTATTTTTAGTGGTTCATTTTTTCATTTTATATTTCTATTTTAGGTATTTTTTTAAAAGTTTGTTACCAAAAATGAAAATAAGCTATAATATCTGCTATCTGTTATATATCTTGTTCTATTTTGTTCTATTCATCTTTTTTTTTTTTTCGCGCCTCCCCCTTATTTTTATAATATTATTATTATTATATAATACCGTATTCATATATATATATCAATATTATCAACAATATATCAAAAAAAAAAAGAGAGTTGGTCACACTACATAATTTACAATTTATATATTAACAAATAACATTCGGATTTTACCCTTATTTTTTTTATTCATATTAAATTATCAGACTAAACCGAAAGTTTGTTTTCAATGATCTTCCAGATATTATTAACTTACTATATAATTTTAATTGATTGAGTTACATTTAAAGTAAAAAGCAAATAATAATGCATGTAATAAAAGAATTTTATCTTACACTACATTACAGAAAGGGTAAAAAAAACGAGTCATCTGTTTACTTCAAAAAAATTTATATATAAATTTGATAAGAAAAAAAAAAAGGTAAAAAAAAAAAA